TAGCCCGCTATTATGCTGCACTTGCTGAGGGTGGGAAAGTTCCTCCACCGCATTATGCTTCCATGCCAACCTTAGGAAGCCACCCACATATTCCAAAGTTCCCTTCTCAACAGACTGTTAAAAAGCAAAAATCTAGAAAGAAAACTGCTGCTTCAGATGCTGATGGTCCTGGACCGACTCAAAATAGCAATTCATCTATTGAGAATGGCTGTGGACATGATGGCAAAGGTAATGTTTACCTCCGGATTCCTGACAACAATAGCTACAATGGCGGTGATACGTCAAGTGATAACCGGAATATCAAACTCTTCCACAACCAAAGAGTTCATGATGCTTTCATGGGAGTTGGAGAATATGAAAACCTTACCTATCCTAATGGGCAGTTTGGGCTTGGGCTTAAAAGGAGTTACTCAACAAATGGGGAACTTGTTGGCTTCGGGCATTCCGGTATGGGCGGATCTACTGGTTTTTGTAACATCAAGCATAAGTTTGCAATTGCAGTAACTCTGAATAAGTTGTCATTTGGATCTGTGACTGCGAAAATAATACACTTGATATGTTCGGAGCTTAACATCCCAGTGCCACAGGAAATTTCCAGACTTGTTGAGACTGGATCTAGCGATCAGTTGGAAATAGGTAAACCACTGATAAACTGACCAATTTTCACTCAATTTTTGTCATTGCAAGTGTATCTATCAGTATGAGATCGTCCAGACAAAAGAATACAATTGTACTTGACAATACAAGTTTAAATTATGGAAATATATTCTTTGCCGTCATACTGGAGTTTTACGGACTCTGCAACTGTATATGAATCCAGGATGGCCCACATGGCCATAATCGTGCTAAATCAACTCAAATCTCTTATTTTAAGTTAGATACGTTTGTGTATATAGTTTTTCAGGCTCTAGCTCGAGGTGGTGGTTTAAGTGGCCGGCCACCTATCAGCTGAAACTAACATGAAAAGCTTACTCTAAAGGAAGGATTAAATCCAACTATACCTTATGCAGAATTTTCTCTACTTTTCTATTTCTGAAATTTGCAAACTAATTGGTGTTGTGGTTAGCATATTCCTAAACTGGTTGATTGATGAAACTTATGAAAATGATAATACAGTAGCATTTATCCTTCTGGAGTGGTTATATTCTATCATGAAAATGCGTTGCGACTCTTTTCATTGGAAAGTAACACTTCATTATCATGAATAAAGTATGTCCTCTATAAATAGGAGAATCAGCTCAATTTTCGATGAGATAATGAGTAGAGAAGAATTAAGATTTATGTGTCTTGAACAACAACGCAATCCCAAATAAGTTGGGATTGATTATATGAATCCATTTTCATTTTCAGGCCAGCATTTTGAAATCCAAATAGATTCTTAGTGATTATTATAGTGTCTTTTAAGTCTACGTTTTGCCACTCTTTCCCAAGGTTTAGAGTTTCTCTCTCGCGTCTTCTTATAAATTGGAATCAAAGCACTTCTTCTCCACTCGTATAACACAAATAACTTGGTAAATCATCTTACTTCCACCTTTCACAATCACTTCCAAACATCTATGAGGATGCATTTCCAATTCATGCTCAAGTGTCTTTTTTTGCTTGTGTTTTAGGTCTCAACAAATGAATTATGTCCAGCTAAACAGATAGAATACTATCAGTATTTCAATTTCTATAAATAAATTAAAAACAGATTTTATAACTTCTCTTTAGAATTCGCATCAAGTGAAACTTAATACGTTCTATTCCAAAAAAGAGTTTGAGGTATTTCGTTGGAGATTTTGATCAAACCAAATTTAGCCTACTAGAGCATATAGAAAATTTTATATTGTATTGTGTGTTTCTGGTATAAGTAAATTGAGATTATTTTATATCAAGTTTCTGATATTATTTATATTGAATTTAACATGGAATCCTAATACTGGCCTTGGACAAAACACATAAAAAACCAAAATGTCTCTGATTACCTCTTTTTCTTATTATTTTAAAAATAAGGGTAAAATTTTAAGCAAAGCTTATCCAAATTAAAATCGAGCATATATTTTTTGTAATATACAATAGTATATTTTAATTTTTAGTACCAAAAAGAATTTTAAAAAAGGAATGTACTAACTTATTTCTTTTCTATTTTTTAACTATATAATAAGTGGAGGTTTTGAGGTACGACGAAAGGCATTTTCGTAATTTGAGGAGTTCTTGTTGCTTTCATTTGTAAACACGTGCTATACAGGTGCCACTTTCTTTTTGCCCTGTTGGTAATCTACTCTTCTGTGTCTCACTCATCTACTATGTTTCTTGGCTCTTTCAGTATCAATTTTGCCTTCTCCATTTTTCTTGTGATTCATGTTTGAGTGTTTTCTTCGCTCCATCACATTCTTTCATAGTCTTTAGTTTATTCTGCTCCTCTACATTCTGCCTGTTGCCGGTGAGTTTCGATTTTATTTTTTGATTTTGGTTTTTTTAGTTGATTTTCTAATTGATTAATTTGATATTCTTTCAGATTTCATGCTTTTCTCTAGTATTTAGGTTATAGTTATTTTGCATGCATCGATTTTTCACTTTATTGACAATGCCATCTCCAAAAGTTTTCCGTCTTGGTTGAAGTTTGTCTATGGCGTCTATATTTTTGAATTTTGGTAAAAAACAAATTCTACGCCTGTTTCTGGTGGATATTTGTTAATTTTATTTTTGCTACTCTCTTGCTGGGTTCTATAGATGCATGTGTGTTGGCTAGGTTACGGAATTAACAAAAGATCTAATTTTTTGTCGGAAAATTAATTCATTCATCAGCTTATATTTTATCTGTTGAAAATTCATGTTTTGGTTTTTTCCATTTTTAATTTAGAATTTTTTGTTGTTCCTATAATTGTATGCATGTGAATTTTCTCTTAAAATAGCTCATGGTTGCCAGTGATTTGTTTGATTCTCTCCAAATAGCCAATGCTTTATGTATTTGCTACTTTACCATCATTCACTTTTTTTTGTGAAGTAGAGGGTGGGAGAGATGGGATCCATTCTTCGTCGTCTCAGGTGTTGGTCCTTTTGTGCATTTGTTGTCGTTATCTTTTCTGGTGAGTATTATTTGGTGAAATGTTGGCTTCTTTATCTTTGTTTTTTTCTATGAATAGTTTATCCATTATATTTTGTTCTGTATTTTGTGTTAAGATGTAGTGATTTCTCTTTACTTTTTGGTGGGTTATAAGAAGTTAAGTCAGCTCTATTCATGTGAATCGACGTGCAAAAAATAAATTTTTTGTTCAGTGAATACACATAAAGAGTAGAATTGGACAAACTAAAATTGAAATTAGGGTGATTTACAGTTCTTATGTTTAAAAGGCATTTCTATTAGAGCCAGAAATTTTGATGTATAATTGGTCAAACTAGGGGCAAGAATACATAAGTTTCCTTCTTCCTTCGTAATTGCACATTCTAGAAACTGTTTCACTCTTCCATAACTCTATCTTCTTCTTTCTCTCTCAATTTTGATTTGAGTATTTGGCTCTAGCAATTTTGCATAACATGTAAGCAGTATTTTTTTTAAGGATTTCCGTCTTTATCTTCAAATTCTATACACAATATTTCTCGTGTCGTCGCTGACTCTAGAAGGTACAAAAATTTCTAATGGCTATTCTGGATTTACCTATGTCTTTGGCTCTTTTCATTAATTGATTATGCAATGCACGCTCTCTTTTTAATATTGGTGTCAATTTTTTTGTTCCTGTCCAAATTGCCTCAATGGACATTCTACTCTTTCTTATGTTGGTATGGGTTTTTCTGATGATAACCAGACATGTGTCGCTCTTTTGCAGCTTTGGATATCACAGCATGCCCTGAAGAGCAGATAATAAGTTGTAACCAAATTGATAGTGAATATGCTGATAATGAAAATCAAGACGAATCAAATGTTGCAATGATTGAAGAGCCAAAATCAGGTATTATATTAAAATCACTTTTTAGATTTCTCTTCCTTGGGTTCTATTTTCCTTGACACCTGTTGTGGTTCTTAAATTCTTTTATAGTTTCCTAAATTCAGTATGACTTGAAATGCTACTCCGATAAATTTTCAAAAATAGAAAGGATACAAAATATGAAACATAATTGCAATTCCATGAGATATAAAAGGCTTGGTGACGGTTAACCTCTGAACAAATATTACTGCAAAATGGGTGTCCTACCCCATTTGTCGGATCAGTTTGGCTCTTAAGGTGATAGGTTTAAAAGGACATTTGTTTCCATCGTTTAATATCGTCTTTATTATGCTAAGAGGAATTTATGCGAGAGATTTTGAAATTGTTCTTCATAGCCTGCATAGGAAAATCAGATCGTTCATAAGTAAAGAGGCTATAAGCAAGCTGGTCAATTCTTTTTCATAGATGGTTACTTTGTTATAGACTACCAGACCATAGAGTCAAGCAGTCAACAACTCGGTCTAAGAGATCTAGCTTAAAAAATTTCCTGAGTTGTTCTATTTTTGAATAGACAAATATGTGATGATTTTTTCTTCAAAGGCTACTGATCCAAAAGATAAAATATGTTCTGCTGGTAATACAAGAAAACATGGTCACTAATGATACAATAGTTAGTATTTTCCTTACTTTTAAAACAGAAAGTATGATTTTCGGTCACTAATGGCATGCGGAGGAGCATCATGAAGAATTGAGAATCCTTTAGTGACAACATATCTTATAGGGTGGGAGATGGAAGGAGAATCAGCTTTTGGAATCATAAGTGGTGTGGAGAGGATACTCTGAGGGTCTCCTTCCCCCGCGTCTTCAGAGTTTCAAACTAGAAGGAATTGATGGTCCAACAGATTCGTAAGGAGCATGTAGGGGGGAGGGAGGGGTAGTATGTGACCTCTCATTTAGAAAGAACATGCAAGATTGGGAGATTGCGGAACTCCAAGATTTATTGACACTGCTATATGGGCAAGGCAGGCCTCAGCCATTCTTGGAGATGGGGTTTGCGTGGTGATGGTCTGTTCACCGTAAAGTCCTTTTACCATAGTATGTTTGTGAGAGAGGAGGCCTCTTTTCCATACTCCTCGATCTGGATTCCTAAGGTGCCCACGAAGGTGTGCTTTTTTGCATGGCTAGCAGCGAGGGGATTGATTTTGACTGCTGAGAATCTGCGAAAGAGGGAAATTACACTTGTTAGTTGGTGCTATATGTGTAAAAGCTCAGGGGAAGAAGTTGATCATCTTTTGTTGCATTGCCCTGTGTCCTCGGCTTTGTGGAGGGCGATCCTGAACCTTTTTAGTGTTCAATGGGTGATGCCAAGCACTGTAAAGGAAATGCTATATAGCTGGGCCGGTTTCCGTAGAAGAAGAAAGCAAAAGGCGTGGAAGTTCACCCCGTTAGCTCTCATGTGGATAGTTTGAGGGGAGAGAAATAGGAGAGCTTTTGAGGGGATTGAGTCTCCTTTTTCACATCTTAAGAATAGTCATTTATCTTTGATCGCTTTTTGGTCCACTCATATAGCCCCTATTTGTATAGAAGATTGGACGTCTTTTGTAGAGAATCATGTTCTGAAGTAAATTCTCTACTTTTTGGTATACTTCTTGTATGCGGTAGTTCTCTCCCTTTTGATTAATACAATTTACCTTATCAAAAAAAAAAAATAGTGCAAAGGCAGTGGTCAAAGTCTCAATTTGATCTGTCACCATATTAGTGTTTTCTCTTGAGAGATGAATTTAAGTTGACTTTTCCTCAAATATTAACGTGAATTGCATTTTTTGAGAAAAATACTTACCCTAATGAATATTTTTCTCGAAAAATAATTGCTT